CTTTCCCAGCCACAAGGCTGAAGCCTGGAGAGAATGGTGGGGAAGAAAAAACAGGCTGACCTAGAAAGAAGAAACAGGGAATATAATGGGCAACAATCACTTCCTATGAACTTGGAAACTAAGTGGGCTAATTATTGTAGTCATGTGTGTTGCTCCATATGTTGCCTCTATATTAAGTTAATACTATCCATTAATTCTGAAGGGAGATGTTTACTGATGAACAAAGAAAGTAAGGCCTTGTCTGTGTTTAAAATTGAGGTTGATTTAGCTACTTTGGTTAAGGCATGAAAAATTTACATCTGTAAGCAACATAACTGTGCTGACTTAACTCTGTTGATGCAGGAGCTTCAGGGGATAGCCGAGTTAGTCTGTTACAAATGGTCTGGTAGCACTTTATAGACTAACAAAACATGTAGATGGTATCATGAGCTTCTGTGGGCACAGTCCACTTGATGCAGTTAGGTGAATAGAAAATGCCTTTGTTGACTTAGGTATTGTTGTTCAAGGAAGCAATATTCCTACACCGATGGATAAACCTTTTCCATTGCTGTTGGCGGTGTCGGTGCTATGGGTTTATGCCAGCATAATCTGTGTAGCATAGACAAAAAACACAAATTGTCCTAGTGCAGGGTTCTCAATCTTTGTCTTTCTGAGGACCCCTCAACATGGCATTCTGTATATAAAAGTCATGGTCGGAGTTGGGGATAGCAAGTAAGGCAGTTACCCAGGGCTCCCCATCACAGGGGGCTCGATGAAGATAAGTTGCTCATGCTTCAGCTTTAGCTCCAAATAGTGGAGCTCCGGGCTTCTGCCCTGGCCGCACTGAATCTAACACTGGGCCTGCTTGGCTTGGCAGATCCCCAGAAACCTGCTTGCAGTCCACCCCCTCATCCCCACGGCTCCTCAGACCCTTAGTTAAGAATTGCTGTCTTAATGCTTTAAAATCTGGAAGATACCTTATTACTAAAAACTCACATAAATGTATGGAGTAATTGAGTTACTCACTTGAATATGGAATTGAGCTCATTATTTGTCTCAGTGCTTGTGTACATAGCATAGCAAAGTGTGCCAGAAGGGTGTGATTTGTTTAAGACTGTTCATAAAGGAACCTAGTTCATTTTGCATACCAGTAGCATTTACACAAGGTAGTAAGAGCACAATGTGTTAAGGCACCTTACAAATTGCAACCCTTTAGTATAGACAAGTCCTCAGTACTGCACAATACATATAATGCCTTGCATCTTATTTTTTTAAAGAGGATTATTTCTGTAATTTATTGCATTCTTAATAAACTTCTTTATGTTAAAGGCACCACCAAAGCCTGTACCGAAGACCATTGAAAATCAGAGAGTTTATGATGAAACAACTGTAGATCCTAACGATGAAGAGGTAAATATGTAATCCCTACATATGTGTTAAACCATGATTTCCTCCCCAAAAAAGAATCTATTATAAACTTTGAATATTTTCCATTTTTATTAGGGTGTTTATGAATTGATAATGTTGCAGATGATGTCATTCTTTTATCATTTCTTTTAAGATGACTTTACATTGCTGAATAATTTATTAGCAAGCCTTGTCTGTGATCTTATCTCCCATTGTATTGTTAAAAACACCGATACAGAATGAGGCAAATCAGCTAAAGAGTATAGTGTAGGTTGACCCATATAGAATTTTGCTATTGATTTAATGGCACCAGAATTTAAGCTAAAATGGACAGCTATTTTTAATAATAAAAAACTGAGTGTTTTTCTTGGAAATGTTTTTAATTCACCATATTTTTTTTGTTCCCAGGTTGCTTTTGATGAAGCTACCGATGAGTTTGCCCCATATTTCAATAGACAGGCATTTCCCAAAATTCTTATCACAACATCAGATAGACCTCGTGGGGTAAATTATTTATAAAATTTAAGTGTAATCTTTACATTTTTTGTGAATCACTTTGAGGGGATCTGAAGGACTCTGGCAATTGATTATGCAATAGAGGTTTTCACTGTCAAGCATGAAATGCAACTGGAATCCAGAAATGATTTTGACAATGGTCCCTTTGCTGGTAATCGAAACAGACACACAGGGGACTTAATGGGCAGGGGAACCTCTTAATTGTTCACTAAGTGATTCCTCTGTGTCAGGATGGATGTACATTGCCAATGCAGCACCAGGAAATATTTACTGCCACTGCCTTAAGCTTTATCTCTTCATTTTATGAAAAGGAGATGTTCATCTGTAGATTTTCAAATGTATGCCTTTCACAAGCTCTCTACACTTGCACAATCTCCAAAAAACACCACCAAATTGAAAATTCATCTCTAACTGAATTGTTCTTCTTCTGTTGGTTTACTTTGTTTATAGTGTGGTCTCCCCTCTTTCCCCCCTCCCCCCCCGACCTCAGTCTTGCAATGAGTTCATCATGAGTAGAACCTTTGTGTCAATGCAATTTTTAATTTGAGGGTTGGGGATATTTATGGCTTTCGCACGGAACCTAGAAGAGGGATGGGGAACCTCCGGCGCATGGTTTATCTTGATCCGGCCCCGCACAGGGGAAAGCATTGCAGGGGAGCACCAAGTCTCACAGGCCAGATCAAGGCAAGCCATGGGCTCTGCCTTGTGGGGGGAGGGAGCTGCTCTACACGCTTCCCCCTCCTCCTGGGCTATGGAATGGCAGCTCAGGGAAGCTCTGTCCCTCTGCTTGATTGCGGGCTCCACCCCTACTGGCTAGGAATGGTGATCAGTTGAAGTGCGGGGGGAAGGGGTAGGGGAAATGAATGGCTGCATGGAGCCACCTGTGTCTGTCTTCCTCCATCCCCCCGAGCAGTGTTTTGTGTAGGTGCCCCAATCCACTGCCCCCTCCCATATTCCCGCCCTCAGCCTACTTTCCAGCAGCCCCTTCAGCACACTGATCCCCTCATTATTGGTCCCACCCCAGAACCTTGGGTGGGGAGCACAGAATCTGTTAGCCCTGGACTTGCAGAAAAGTTAATATGGGCTTGAGGATAAGCCCTGAGCCTCATCTGCCCTCTGCCCTCTGCCCTCCCCCCCAAAAGCTGAACCTCAAAGGGAGTGAGGTGAGTGTTTCTCACCTTTTTTCTGCTTTTCAGTTGAAGGCCATGTCTGAGAGGGTTTTTTTTCTTGTTCTCACTTAATTGGTAGGGCCCTAAATATACTCAACCAATGAGAGATTGCAATCAAGGCTTTCTGTTGTACAGAGAACAGTGAGATTCTGTGAACAGCTGTCCACTGTCATACCTAACTCTCACGTCTACTATCGAAGAGGACTGGCTCTGAAAAGAATTATCCCACAGTGCATCTCGAGAGATTTCACAGATCTGATTGTTATTAATGAAGATCGCAAAATACCAAGTATCCTTCATGTACTAGAGGGAGTTTCTTCATAGTTATCTCTATTACATGATAAAGACGTTAGTGCGCTAATTCTAGACAGTTAAGAAAGCAGTTGAGATGTGTCTCCAAAATCCTTTTTGTCACTTCACTATGCACTTTCAAGTTGATGTATTGCAATTTTGCACTTTTTTTTTTTTAGAAGATAAGAACCTGGGAATACTCTGATATATTTCTCCTTTTCTACAAGCCAAATACAGCAAACCAAAGGCCATTTTTGTTTCTCTCTCAAACTGTAACTTAAAAACCTTTATAAATACAAAATTGCAAGACCAGAAGCATGCTACGTAGATATCTGCATGCCTCAGGTTAATTCTGAGACACTAAGCAAGTGCCATAACATGGTTCCATATTTATATTAAATGTGGCCACATGCTTGTATGTAATGTTGAATGTGTCCAGTGTACTGGCACTTCTTTGCATAGTATCAACTAGTAAATCACTCTCTTTCTCTGAGCCAAATTAGTGCATGCATTTTCTTATTGCATTTAATTTAAACAGTTTAACTGGCTATTGAATTTTTTAACATTAAATTTTTATTATGTTATGCTCATAATGCTCTATAGCAAATTCAAAAGTGAACAAATAGAAAATAATGCATTGCAATGTGTTCTAATTGGCAAGTAATTTTTTTTAATATTTCATAGAATTCTAATACAGTTTTTCTCAAACGGTGGTTCATGGGCCCACAGATTAATTCCTCTCCCCCTTTCCCTCCCTGGGAGGCTTCCTACCTGCCCTGGTTCCGTGCAGTTCCCAGAAGTGGCCACCAGGTCCCTGTGACCCCTAGACACTTGGGCAGCAAGGGAGGCTCCATATGCTGTCCCTATGCAAGTGATGCCTCCTGTTGGCTGGAAACTGGTCAAAGGGAGCTGCAGGGACAGCGCCTGTGGGCATGAGGCCATGGGGGGCCTCCATGACTACCCGTACACATAGGTGTTCCAGGGACCTGGCAGCTACTTCCTGGGAGCCTTGGAAAGTGCTGTCAGAACCCTGAACCCACTCCAAAGCTTCATTTCCATCCTTCACCCAACTCCCTCCCAAAGCCTGTTCCCCCCGCGCACGTGCGCACGCGCACACGCACACACACACACACACACACACACACACACACCCAAACTCCCTTGCACCCTCTATCCGGGGAAGCCACACGGAGCCAGGTAGGGAGCCTGTCAGCCCCGCACCAAATAGACCATAAACCAGACTTTCTACAAAGATGATAAATGCTACTTTATAGAGCTTTCTGGTTGATACACAGCTGGATAACACAGTTTTTACTATAGTAGGCGATCTTGTTGCAGCACTTCACACTTTTTGGCAATAATGAAGAGGGTATGTATGTCAGTCTTAAGCATAATATATAGATTTTGTAAATTAGGTTCTAATGTTGAATGTTTCTGTGGAACTAAATAGATTTCTATGTAAATCATTTCTTTTGTATCTTGTTTAAAATGCATTCTGAACTTCATATCTATACAAGTTTTTCTTAACTCTCTGAAACAGATGGACTTGTTTTAAGTCATTTGCCTGATGGGCCAACTGCCCATTTTAGAATGAGCAGTGTTCGTCTGCGTAAAGAAATAAAGGTGAGGTTTTTTTTATTCCTTCTAACAGGGAAAAAAAATGCATATTCCAAATTGCTTTGTGAAAATATTTTTTCATTTTCTTAACTTTTGTCTACTGAGAGAACTGTTCACACTTAAATGATATTGGTTTCATCAACATTGGTTTCATAAAGATGTCTTACTGATTTTTTTTTTATTATTATTATTTCTAGTTTGATTTTTTTTTCACAGCAATTCTTGCAATGGATGGATTGTTTTTGCCTTTGATATTTTTTTGCACTCATTGCAATAGCATTACATAAAATTAATTTTTATACAGTGCCATCAGTAATCTATAGGAATCCCAATGGTGTCCTGATAATGCTGAACTCTTGTTTAACTCCAACTAGTCTAAAAGCACTGTGCCCTTTTTTTAAAAATGCACTTTAAAAAGTAAGAAACTGAAATGACCTGTAGTCAATCTGACTTCATTAAAGGTTGGCCATGAAGGATAGCTTTGGAAGCAATGAGAGTTGAATATTCAGAGACTTTCAAGATTTTTGATGGCTAACCTGATTTCAAGTGAGGGGCGGGTAGTGTTCTGTATATATACACCTGTTCTGTATATTAGTGAGGGGGAAATATAGAATGAATAACTATATCATTCTCTCCCATGTATTCAAGAAACTTTATTTTGGAGGTCTTTAAATGTTGCCAACTGCTGCACTATATCTGTGTTTGTTGTGGCATTTAACATGAGTTAAGCTCTTGGCCTTAGCTATCTTCCCTTCTCTATTAAATATATTAATTCAAATTTATATCTGAGTATCTTTGGAAATATTTTTACATTTATCTTATCCTTTCTACCTTGTTACTTTCGTTCCAGCGAAAAGGGAAGGAGCCCACAGAACATCAACCTGAAGTAATCCTGAATAACTTTACAACACGATTGGGCCATTCCATTGGTCGCATGTTTGCTTCTCTCTTCCCACATGATCCTCAGTTCATTGGAAGACAAGTAGCTACATTTCACAATCAGCGAGACTATATCTTTTTTAGATTTCACAGGTGATCTCTTTTCATATTTTGCTAGTAGCTAAGAAAAACTGCATTTGTGTAGCGTCCCATCCTAATGCTCCTTTGGCTTTGAAGGTACATCTTCAAGAGTGAAAAAAAAGTGGGGATTCAAGAGCTTGGGCCACGATTTACCTTAAAGCTGAGGTCTCTTCAAAAAGGAACCTTTGATTCCAAATTTGGAGAGTATGAATGGATTCACAAGGTATGTCTTTCAGTAATGATACCAGGATGGGCACTTAACATTTTGGCATTCTGAAAATATAATCACAAACATCATCCTAAAATAAATGTAGTAAATGACATTTGCATGGAAATGGCGAACTGAAATGCCACCTAGTTTTTTAAAAAAATATAGCAGAACCTTTCTAGCTTGCTTTTTTTATTGATCATTTATTTTCCAGTATGGAAGGATAACTATTACTGATGTATCTCAGTCATTTATTGGAGACGTGTAGTCAAACTTTAACATAATTAGCAGGATACAAGCATTCTATAGTATAGTTTGTAAAGTCTTTCTGAGATCTTATTATTGTGGGCTTGCTCCTGTCTTGCTGGTGAAGTTGATTAGACCTATTTCTGTTTGCATGAGTGGAATATCTTGTGTCAAGTTGACTACACAATTTTAAATAAAATGCAGTGATAGAATGAATAGGTAGTATTGAACCATTTCACTAGTCATTTTTGGCATGGCATTGTAATGTTTAGCTTCCACATTTAGAAAGATTAGGTAGTATGCAAAGCTACAAGAGGGAAAAGCTTTGATAAACTTTGATCTAGCTAAGTAGCAGGTGTAGTAATTCCTTCAAATGAAGGAAGCACAATCACCTTTATATTGAATGTGCCAGCACATTTCCCTTTAAGCTATTTGATCTTGATAATGCCACACCTACAAATTGAACATGTAGTCTCTAATCTGCATCTTCCCCTGTGCTGATCCTGGTAAGCTGAGTCCAAGAATTAGTTAAAGGTATATTGCAGCTGCAGTGCCACTGGGAAAATACACACCCCTTCCTTCCAGTAGTTTTGTTTTAAAATATGAATTTGCCTATTTCTTTAGTGTCTGCAAATGTTACTTTAACAGCAAACTTTATTGTATCATTTTTTTAAATTTCAGCGCCATGAAATGGACACAAATAGAAGAAAATTCCACTTATAATGAAAGTTATCATCTAGTTCTACCTGATTGGAGTGCAGAATTGTTTTTGAATTCTTCTACAGCTAAATTGAGTCTGATGTTGGTCCTGTCATCTCAAATTCACTGTTATTAAACAATGTTGCTCATCACTGAGCAATGTTATCTGTGCAGGCAGGAAGACTAGAGACATCTTCAAACTTTATACAGCAACTATTTTGATATGAATGTGTAATCTTCAACTTTTTCACTAAGTCTACACACTTAGTCCTATAGCAGTGCTACTGCATGTCTATGTAGCAGCTGGGAATCATGTTCCCAGTGCTGGTAGACAAACAAGGACTAGCTCTGCTTGAGACTGCATGCTAAAAACAGCAGTGTGTCTACGTTGAGAACTTATTCAAGTGGTTAGATTGACCCACTGCCTATGTCACCCCAGCTGCACTTCTGTTTTTAGCACTTTGGTATGAGCTGAGCTAGTGCAGGTTGACAAATATGCTTTGGAAAGCATGTTTTAGCATGCTGAATAGTCATGCCTTTATTTAAAACTGACAGTTTCCTAGATATGGGCAGCAGATTTCAGTAGCAGCTGCCAATGGGTTGGATGGTGGTAATTACTGAGGCCATCAAGACTACCCTAGTGCCTTAACAATGCTGTATGGGAGTTGCATGGTTCTACTTTAAGGTAAGTAGACAGACCTTTACTGTCAGTTAAAATAGGTTACATATGAACAATGTGACCTTGTTTCTGTAAACTGTGGTATCATTACCACATAGCTCCACTTCTGTTCTAAGAATTGTTTCATACCAAGATTAAGGAGGTTAAGGATTAGTCAACAGGATAGTCAACTAGTTGCTCTCCTTCCCCCACCCCCCATCAGAGGCAGCAAAGGGGAGGAGGAGAGAAGAGAAGGATACTTCAAAGCAGCAGCGCCACATGGAGTCTGTGGTACTGCTGTAGCGTTTCAAAGGAACAACGCCACTATCAGCTATTCTATTAGGCTGTGTCTACATTGGCATCCCTTTCCGGAAAAGGGATGCTAATGAGACACTTCGGAATTGCAAATCCGCGGGGATTTAAATATCCCCCGCGGCATTTGCATAGCTGCTGCTGTTTTCCAGCTCTGGGTTTTTGCTGGAGAAAAGCGCCAGTCTAGACACGATTCTTCGGAAAATAAACCCTTTTCCGGAGGATCCCTTATTCCCTTGAAAGTAGGAAAAAGGGATCCTCCGGAAAAGGGCTTATTTTCCGGAGAATCGCATCTAGACTGGCGCTTTTCTCCGGCAAAAACCCCGAACCGGAAAAAAGCGGCAGCCATGTAAATGCAAATGCTGTGGGGGATATTTAAATCCCCCGCGGATTTGCAATTCCGAAGTGTCCCATTAGCATCCCTTTTCCGGAAAGGGATGCCAATGTAGACACAGCCTTAGTGTATTACACTATACTTAACATCCTTAATCCAGATTGTGTTTGTAGAAAGGCCATATTGTGAGAGGTGGAGTGTAAAGAGAGATCTGCCAGTAGAGACATGTATAATCTTAAAACAATTAAGAGCTAAAATACACAATTTAATGTTCCAAAAATATAGAAAGTGTAGATCTTCCTGTCTTAATGTGTACACACAGGCAATTTGAGTAATTTGCCTCAGAGCAAGGATAGCCCTTATATGGGTGCTAAAAAGCTGTAATACAGCAACATCCATGATCTAGCAGAACTGTGGGTGCTTTGGGGCTGAAGCACCAATAGGGAAAAGCCAGGGGCCCCACACTCAGCAACTTCTCCCCTGCCCTTTCAGAGCACTGAAAATAGCTGATTTGCAGCATTCAAACTGGGATGGGAATACAGGGGTTAGGAGAGGCCGGGTAGCTGCAGAGCCATGTGGCTGAGGTTCCAGTGGGGCCCTGCAGCCACCCTGCCTTTTCTTCCAAGTGGACACCCTGTTCTAGCTCCATTAATGCTAGCCCTTCTGCTGCTGCCTGAGCGGAACCCCACAGCCAGCAGCAAGAGGGGACAGCTTTGACTTCCTGAGGTGCTGTCAGTCTTGTTCTTAAAAGCAAAATAACTTAAATTATGAAGATGCTTTATGTATCTTGGGTAGAAAAGAGAGGTCCTTCTCTCCTGCAAATAATGAGCAAAACAAAGATCACTGGCTTCAGCATTTGAGCATCAACTTTTATGGGCATGGATGATGTACTTCTGAAGAAACTGAGTGGTTTTGGCTTCAGTTAGAATTGCTACAGGTTAGGGATGTGGAACTCACATGTCTCAAAATTGAGCATACATTTCAGTAAATATATATTTCAAGTAACTTCAGAGAAGTATTGAGGCAAAGTAACTCCAAAAAGAGATTAAGTCAAAACATTTTTATTTTTTGCTTGGTATGTAAAACTGATTCCCTCATGAAGTAGAAAGTTCTTGCAGCTAGCACACAGTTCATTTGGAGAGGTAGATGGTAAGAGGTTTGACAACAGTAGCGATTTACAGTTAACTTGGCACATTGTTAAGGCTAAGCTTTTGTACAGACATCAAACCACGCCACTCCTTGAGTCACATTCTCTCCACACACAGCAGCTGTGAAAAGGTGTTAGAAGATCTGAAAAGACAAAAAAATTGGCTTGAGTAAAAGTAATGATCTGCAGGTATGCTTGAAAGTACTCCTAAATCTATCTTTTGTTATAGAGGACACCGTTAAATAGGTATAAATTAGTCTACCTTCCCAAGTAGCTCATTGGGCAAAGGGTGCCTATTATTGTAATAAGTTTTTATGATCAGTTCTCCCATGTAGGGTGGTTTACAGCAGGGCTAGAGGCAGAATCTAACTAAGGGATTCTTTCTCCTGTATGCTGGATTTGTTAAACTGGTTGGGCAAATGTATTCCTACAGCATCAATAGTTGCAAACTCTCTCTCCTCTAAATATCACCTTTGCTTTGGAAATACCCACATTTACAGCAGCTACTGCCTCCACTAGTGCTGCAAACCAAGAACAATAATTTTGTTTCATCACCACCAAGTATTCCTAAGAATACCTCACCCTCAACACCGCATATAGGGCTGCCCCCATAACAATTGGTTTAGAGATGTTAGAAACCTCTTTTACAGATGAAATG